GCAATATGGTTCATGGGGTCACGAAGAGTCGGACATGACTTAACGACTGAACAACAACAACAACTACATATAAGGATTGTAACTTCCTAAAGTAATTAATCACTGCCTCAGTCTTACTGTGTAGAAAATAAAACCAGACTTCTCTGGATGTTAAACTGCTTTTAAATATTACAGTATTTACTCCTATCATGCAGATGTGTGTTTGTGACTGAAACATCACGTGAAGATCTCTGCCCAACAGGCTGATCTACCATGCCCATCCAACACACATGTTGAAGCATAAGTCAAATGTAGCATTTCCAATAGCATTCACAAAGAGGCAATGATACTACATACTTAAGTACTTAAGTACTACACACTTAGCTTATCATCTACACTGTTGGCCACTTTCCATTTTGCTCCAGCTGTTTTGATTCAAAGGTCTGAATACCAATTACAAAGAGAAGCATGGTTCTAGTTGAAGGGACAGAAGACAACACACTCAGAAAGTGTGTTCTACAAACTTCAGTTACACTGAATTTTTTTTTTTTTTTAATGAACAGAAACAATAGTTACCGTGACCATTGGCACAATATATCGCCAGTTCTTATTCAGGCTCTTGATAAAGTTCATTTCTTCAACAGTCAGACTGAAGTCAAACACCTAAAACAGATAAGTACATTTACTACTAATTCAGACTATGCTTTTCACTGTTGCTACTTTGTGAGATGGTGAGCTTTCTTAATAGCTAAAAATTCCTCTGTACAACATGTATAAATGCAAATTTACAAGACAAATAGGTGGAGAACATATCTAAATAATGATTGCAATCTACTGGAGATGTGCAATGCTTCATTACCAAAGCGAAAAGATGCTTTGAAGTGGGCATGGGTGTGCATGCTGCATTTATCTGCACCTCCTTAAAGATGCAGCTTCTTGAAGGTGATGCAGATAGGTGTGGCATTGGTGCACCTGCCCACTCTGAAGCACATTTTTGGCTGTAGATCTGAAGCATTGCACATCCTCACTACCTAAAGAAAACATTAGCTTCTTTTCCTCCTTCTGAAGTGGGTCCCACACTCCACCTGCTCATGTCACTTCCCAGTATCAGTACAAGCATGTCTGGTATATGAATACTGAGTTGGGAAATTTGTAGCCTTTCAGGTATTGGTTAATTATAATCTCAGCATCTCTCACCATTGTCTATAGTGGCTGAAACCACTGAAAACTGGAGCTTGCTAACATCAGATTCATGACTCCTGCTGTAGTGGCTTTAATGTTCTTCCAATAAGGCTGAAGAGTTACAGAGAAGGTGGCTCATTCATAGGCCTTACAGCTGAATGAGTCACAACATCCTCAGGCATGCTACCGCAGAAGCTTTTGCAAAGATTCAACTAAGTACCATGGATTTTGAAACTGTCTCGGCATGCCTAATATGCCATAGTTCTTCAAGCAGAGTGGGTCGCAACGATGAAAGGGGTATTTCATGACCATAGAAACAGTTCTGACTTCCACTAGGGATTTTATCATCATGAACTTCCCCTAAATCAAAGTAAGTAGCAAAAGAAAGATTCACCATGGGAAGGTAAGGCCAAGTCCCACAGAACTGATTTCCTGAGTAAGGCTAGTAGTGCCCAACTGATAGCCACCTTCCTTGGTTGACAAGATACCAAAGTGACTATTACTGATTTATTCCCATCAATTAACTATTCAGCTCATCTTTCCCATAACCTATCAAACTTAACTGACTAGAAGATGGGGGAGCAATTTTCTTAGGCGGGTTAAGCAAAAAGGCTATTTTTTTGGAGGCAAGAACAAACCCAACAAGTAATTCTCTTGGAAGAAAAGCACTGATATTAATTCTGCTTCTCATCATTGCAAAAAGAGTAACTTTCCAATCATCCAGAGATGTAATTCCTCTCCAAGTAATATGTAGAAATAATATAAAAAGCTGGACAGCTGTACAGCTGTTCTCTAATGCAAAAGAAGAAATTACAGATTTTTTTTTTTGCAGCAATGATTTCTAAATAGGAAAAGGGAGGGCGAAGGGATTTATATTTATTTGAATTTTTCTAAAGCCTTTGAGATATATCAAAGAGGTTGTAGTGACTTCATTTAAATCCAGAAGGAAAATGCAACATTAAAATATTGTTTGAAGTGCGGTTTAAAGCAATTCAATAATATGATAGCACACAGAAATGTTGGATTCAACTGGACCCATCAAGATCAAAAGAGAAAAGATTCTCTTTAAAGTCTGGGAGGCAGAAGGTAATGAAGCTTACAAGTGAGGATCTGTTAAATAGATTGAACACAAAAACTGCAAGCACCAGATATGTTAAACCAGTACACTGTAACAGGTGAAAAAAAAAAACAGCCTCATAAACAAGCCTAGAATCTGGTTGGTAAGATCTAATAGTAAATTAGTTCATCAGCTAGTGCATCAAACCAATCAGAATGGGCAAGTTGTGCATTCATCAGCTCTAGTAAAATGATAGCAAGGATACATCAGTTAAGAACTGCATTCTACCTATACAGGTAGTCCTACTTACTGACCGGAATTGGGACTGGCAACTCCATTGCTAAACGATGTGGTCATAAAGTGAAACATCATATGATCACAACTGACTTACAATGTTAGTTCCAGCTGCAGTCATTAAGTGAATCACCTGTAGTCATTAAATGCAATGTCACATGACCGTGACTTGCAACTTCCTACCAGCTTTCTCATTGACTTTGCTTGTCAGAAGCCAGCTGTAAAGGCTGCAAATGGCGACCACGTGACCGCAGGACGCTATGGCTGTTGTAAGTGCAGGCTGATTGCCAAGCACCAAAATTGCAATCATGTGACTGCAGGGACACTGTGACAGCTGCAAGTTTGAGGACCAGTCATAAATCTCCTTTTTCAGTGCCATCATAACTTCAAATGGTCACTGAATGAGTAGTCAGTAAGCAAGGAGTACCTTTACAATATATTTCCAAGGAAAAGACACAGCTGAAGCTTCAGTACCGCTGACCAAAGCTGCCTCCTGTCTTCTGGGAAGTCAGTCAGGAAGTCCCACTCACCTGGAGATTCTGGAGTATGCGTGCAGGGGTAACACTCTTGGGAATAACAACCACTTTCCGTTCAACTTGCCATCTGCCATAGAGTTAAACAGCAAGCTGTAATTTTCCCATACAGAGTAAACTAAATCCAAGGTGGTCTACCTTGACAGGAAAAACAGTATTGTCTTACAATGCTACAAAACTTTCATGGTTTTCCAGAGTACCTTTGGGTTTAAAGTTAAACATAATGTCATTATAACACAGAACACTAAACAAGCTTTTTTGAATGGAACTTCAAAGTGTATTCCTAGAATCCATGGTTCTTTTAAAAAACTGAGCCACTACTTGCTTTTGCTAAATTAATTAAAATGTTTGTAAAGCATCTTCTCTTGTAAATTTCTTTTTTAAATTACTAAGTTGTTTCCAACAGAATAAAAACATTAATACTGTATAATAAAATAATATTGTATTAACAAAATATAATAACATTTTTGTTACATAGTAAAGATTAATGCCCTTTTAGTAGCTAATTTAGTGGCTAGTAGGGTTTAGCTATTTTTGGATGATCTCTGGTGATGGGGGTAGTACATCCATCGTTGCTCTTCTTGACCTCTCGGCAGCTTTTGATACCATCAACCATGGTATTCTTTTGGGTCGGCTGCAGGAGTTGGGGCTGGGTAGCATAGTGCTGTGCTGGTTCAGCTCCCTTCTCCAAGGCCAAACCCAACTGGTGTTGATAGGGAGTGAGAGGTCCAACCCATGGCCGCTACTCTGTGGGGTGCCTCAGGGTTCAGTGCTTTCGTCGCTCCTATTTAACATCTACATGAAACCATTGGGTGAGATCATCTGGCACCATGGGATGAGGTATCATCAGTATGCCGCCGATACCCAATTATACATCTCCATCCCGGGTGACCTAAGTGACGCTGTGGGTACCCTCTTGCAGTGCCTGGAGGCTATAGGAGCCTGGATGGGGGACAACAGGCTTCAACTGAACCCTGGTAAGTCGGAGTGGCTGTCGGTACGAGGAGCCTCAAGATCTAGGAGTTTATCATCTTTGGTTCTTGATAGGGTTGCACTACCCCAGACAGACCTGGTGTGTAATCTGGGGGTCCTCCTGGACTCACGACTCCTGTTTGAAGAACAGGTGGCAGTCGTGGCTAGGAGGGCTTTTGCACAACTTCGTGTTGTGCGGCAGTTACACCCCTTCCTTGATCAGGAGGCCCTCTACATGGTCACTCATGGCCTGGTCACCTCCCAATTGGATTACTACAACGCGCTCTACATGGGGCTACCTTTGAAGAGTATCCGGAAGCTACAGCTGGTGCAGAATGCCGCCCCGCGGACAGTTCTGAATGCCCTAGGGGGGCATATATAACACCGCTGTTACACAAGCTGCATTGGTTGCCAGTTTGCTTCTGGGTCCAATTCAAGGTGCTGGTCATCACCTTTAAAGCCCTTCATGGCACAGGACCAGTTTATCTGAGCAGCCATGTCGCCTGTTATCTCAGCCCACTTCACTCGGTCCGGCAGAAGGGGCATGTTGCAGACCCCACCAGTCAAGGAATTTCAACTGGTGGGAAGGAAAAGGGCCTTTTCTGCTGTGGCTCCCACTCTATGGAACAATCTACCTCCCGAGGTGTGGTGTTCCCCCACTCTCATGCCTTTAGGAAAGGTGTGAAATCCTGGCTATGCCAGAAGGCCTGGGGGCCAGATGGGGGCTCACATCAGTGGAAGTGGCTTTTGGGGGGATTTATTTTTACACCCCCCCCCCCCCTTTTCTTTTTTTTTTTTTTTTTTTTTTTTTT